GCAGGGGCAGAGTGTGAGGAGTCCTCCCCCTGAGATGGAAGGAGCGGCAGAGTCAAAATGTGATGAACTGACCACAACCCCCATTCCCCGTCCTCCTGCGCCGCTCGGGGGGAGGAGGTAGAGAAAATGGGGAATGCAGTTGAGCCCGCGAGGAAGGGAGGATTGGGGGGAAGGTGTTTTAGGATATGGTTTCATTTCTCATTACCCTACTCTGATTTTGATTGGTAATAAATTAAATTAATTTTCCCTAGTTGTGTCTGCTTTGTCCATGATGGTTATCACTGAATGATCTCTCCTTGCCCTTACCTCAGCCCATGAGCGTTTCGTTATATTTTCTCTCCCCTGTCCCGCTGAGGAGGGGAGTGATAGAGCAGCTTTCGTGGGCATCTGGCGTCCAGCCAGGGTCAACCCACCACAAGGGAAAACTCTTGAAATAACTTTGTAGTAATGTAGTAACATTGAAATTGGAAATATACAGCATTGTTTTAGATAAAGCAGTGTTACACCTATCAAAAACTGTAAGGTTCTTCATCTGTGGATGGGTTCATTGCTCATGTCTTCAATCTGGAAAGTCTTGTGTGCTTGAAAATTTTTCTTTTATCTACTGCTATTAGGTTATCTGACAAGATACCCAGTTGAGCTTTGCAGTATGGGAAATGCAGTGTAACTCACATAGGTTTTGTCAAAGAGGAGCGGTTAACTAGTCATACAGTAGTGGAAAATAAGCCCAGCAGATTAAAGACCTAGTGCAAAGATCAGAAAGGGAGAGAGAAAGTAGCTGTCTTTTAACATTTTAAATTGGTTGCCTTTAGAGTAGAACAGGTTCTCAGGAAGGCTGTAAAATTTGTTAATGTTAATTTACTATGACATTCTCCATCAAAATAACATTTTGCCTTCATGTCTTAAATTGACAGGATGTGTTGAAATGAACTTCAGTGAAAAAAATATTTTTTTTTAATATACAGTTTGACATGTTTGTGCCCTGCCAATTGTATATTATTTGGAGCAAATTAAATAGGTGAAGTCAGAAGGGACAATTACTTGGTCTGCTCAAAAGAACAAGTCATCGCTGTCTCCTTTTAATTGATTGATAGTGTCATACATTAAAAGATTTGCCAAAGTGAGGTAACAAATCTTAGCAGCTAACTAGCCCGAGTTTGTAACTGGACTAGAAATTAAGAAGGCTTAAATGCATTCAAATCTGTTTAGCTGTGTAGAATGTGCTGTGGTCTTGGCATCAGGTAGGCTTTCAATGTGCCATATGGAGACTTCAGGTGTTTTCAAGACCTGCTTCAAATGTGAAACGTAGGGTGAAGTCAGGCTCTTAGTGAGACAGGTGCCTGTAGAGCAGAGCTGGGTTTGTTGGAGCAAAGTTATGAAATTTGATAAGGAGACAAGTCTGGATTTTGTTTGTGTTGGGTTTTTTTGGTACACATACTTCCACTATGACCTCAGTGGTTCTCAAACTTCTTAAAAATAATAATAAACCCCTTCCAAAAAACATCTACACTGAACAACCTGTATTTCAGTATTGACTGCTGGTCTTGAATAGCTTTCTGAAGCCATGTCTTGGTTGTCAGCAGAGTTTTGAGAACCAAGCATCAGAAGCAAAGAGGCTGTCTTATGTTCTCACTGTTGTCCATACCTCATGCCCAGGCATCATCAAGAAGCCTGATGTGAAAGCAACAAAGCAAAGAATAGCGGGGATGGGATAGGACTGGAGCAAACAAATGAAAAGGAAGGAACTAAATGGGATCTGGATAAATGCTGCTTTACTTACCTATTGAATGGTTCCTTAGCCTCCTTTTTTTTTTTTTTTTAATGGTTTGTTGTGATTTGTATTATGTCACTGACATTCTGTGGCATTCTCCACCTAGTGCTTTTCAGATTTCACAAAACTTGCCAATACCCTTGTGCATGGATCAGAGATTGTCAGTGGCAGAATCCCTTCAGGGTATGAGTGATGTTTACATTTTTATGTGCAGGATTGAAGGCCTAAGTAAGCTCTGTAGGTTTGTGTTGACTGCCAGCTTTGTTCTTGAGCTGGTGCAATTGCCCTGAGGAAACTGGAAAGAAGGAGCATTGTGGAAGGATGGATTGTATACATCTGTGTTCATTGGCAAATGATGTCTATACCCAGTCATGTTTCCAGCTTTTGATGTGGTCCATCTTGTTCCTAAGTAACAGATTATGATAATTTCACTTAATCACTTTTCTCTGATGTGTTTCACTGCTTAATTGTACAAACTCGTGAGTTTCTCATGCTTTTGTGCTCTCACAAATAGTTTTTGACCATAATACCAGCTCCTGATTATGCAAGACATGGCAGATTTTGGTCATATGCTCAACAGCCCCAACTTTATTTTTATTTGCAGTATTCACATATATGGCAGGTAAGCAAGTTGTTGATGTAAACAAGTTGTAAGACTACAAAAATTTTCACAAGTGAAAATTTTCTAAATGGGAATTTCGGTTGAAATTCCCTCTGAAAATGCCCTCAGAAATCCATTCTGGCACCAGTGGATATTTACTAGATCACCAGCCTTTAACAAATGTGCTTGTAGAACAGCAGATGTTCTGTTGTACTGAAAATAGTTTACTTAAATATCCTGTTAAGAAAAGGTCTGGTCTTCCAATGTCCTACCAGTGACTTGCTATTTGTTCACCTTAATACATGGAATCATAATTACATATTTCATATAGAATATTATGTTACACTTTCAGAGATACAACACATGTCCGTCGTTTGAAGGGAATTATCTTATTGCCTGTTGATGAAAGTGCAAAATGCACCTTTTCATAAGCTTTTGTTTTTATTACAGCAATGTCATCTTACTTGTAGAAACATCATGACACACAGCAGCATCATGGTGGATGTAGGAAAGTGGCCAATATTTACCTTACTGTCACCTCAAGAAATAGCATCTATTCGGAAGGCATGTGTATTTGGTACATCAGCCAATGAAGCTATATACATAACGCACAATGATGAGGTAAGGCTGTAATAAAGTGGAACATATACTCTACAATTAGTTGTTTTCCGAGTCCACTGAATATTTGTAATTTAATAGCTTCTCAAAAGCATTGTGTGAAATTTGTGTATTTCAAAACATGTTGTGTGTAACTTGTAAATTTTTTTTTTTAGTCTTGTATGGGGACAATATAGATGGAGTATTTAGAAAACGTACGAATTACAAAGGCCAGGATGGATTACATGCACTTTTGAAGACAGTCAGAATTCAAAAGAAGTTGTGGTAGCTTGAAATTAAGTGCAAGCACTCCAGGTATGAAGATATAAAATGAGATTATGGCTTGTTAAGTAACAGTACAGCAGAAAATTATCTGTGGATTTGAATGATTTGGAAACTCAATGCAAATTAGTATTGTGCTGCTGAAAGAAAACAAGCCAGAGGTTCTGGGATGTATTAATGGGAGGATTTCTTGTGAGACTGGGTAGAGTAGGGTTTTGGTTTGGTGTTTGTTTTTTTTCCCCTCCTAAGTCCTGTCAGAGCTGCCTGTAGGATGAGCCTCCTAGCTGTGGCTGCTCTGTACAAACTGCCTTTAACAGAAGATGGTGTCTTTCACAGTTTAATACTTTTTTATAATACAGTTCCTGCAAATGAGAAGCCTACCTTCCAGGCCTGCATGGATCTGAAGAATTCAGACTCATCGGTTAACTTCCAAAGTGTCCCCATGCTAACTCTTGAGCTTGTTAACTTCCAAGCTGGAAGGCTGGAAGTGTCCAGCCCTCAAGAATCCATGGCAAAACTCTGTCCTGGCTTTATGAACACCTGGATGTTACCACATCTGTGCATACCTGAGTATAAATCACTTGAAATGAGTGTTCCTCTGTTTTTCAGGTATTCGTTTTTGGACTGAATTGCAGTAATTGTTTGGGAACTGGAGATAATCAGAGCACAATAGTACCAAAGAAATTAGAAGCCTTATGTGGAAAGAAAATTTCCAGTCTCAGTTATGGAAGTGGACCCCATGTTGTACTTTGCACTGAAGGTAGAAAGATAACATTTAGTATAGAAACATAAGTTACAGATTTTAAGTTCCACTTGCATTTAACAAGAGTGGATTAAGGTGTAATTGTATTAACTTGTTAATTGGATAATGTACACTAAGGGGTTCTCATGCGTCTTAAGTGGAACTAAACATACTTTGTAATTGGTAAAGTAAGTTTCTGTTACGTTTCCATTATGTTGTGACTGTAGAGTTTCACACTTATCATTTATAACATACTCAGTCTTACCTGTACACTTTCATGTATTTCCACAACAAATCTAGAGGCTTAACTGATATGTGTATATAAAAGTTGTATACGAAGTATATAATTTTTTTAGTATACGGATAATTCTTGTAATGATTTAACTATTTGTTAATGTCCTTTCACTTTCATGTTGGCATTTTCTAATTTCTTAGAAATCTGTCTATCTTGATGTTCTTGGAATTTTTGGTGTTTTTTTATCACAAACTTAAATCTTTTGCAGATGGTGAAGTATATGCTTGGGGACATAATGGTTACAGCCAGCTTGGGAATGGCACAACCAATCAGGGCATTACTCCTGTTCAAGTTTGCACAAATCTGTTAATAAAGAAAGTGGTGGAAGTAGCCTGTGGCTCTCATCATTCTATGGCGCTGTCATTTGATGGGGATGTAAGTTGAAACCCGTTCAAACCTCTTAATCTCCTTCTTGAATGGAATAGTGCAGGTGACCTTGCAGTCTGAAGTTCTCTCTCTACAGAATAGTTACAACATAACCTTTTCTCCTACTGCCTCAAACTAGGGTATGCTTTTCTTCAGAGCAGACTGGAAAACAACTCACCCCCCCCCCCAACCCCCAACAAAAAAACCCACAAAAACAAGGGAATAAAAAGCTAGTAAACTTTTGTGTCTTTCATTTGTTGTATGTCTCACAGGGATGAGACCAGAAAGCTGTGCCACTTACAGGTGAAAGAATGGTTTGTAATATGCATAATGTAACCTTGTTATTTGCTTGCAGTTCTGTTATTTAAGGGTATATTGAGTTGTTTGTATTCGCTGGTTAGTGTTTAGTCTGTTTCTTGTAGTCTTCATGGTTTCCACACTGGTATTGGTGAAAGAATGTTGCTGTGCACACCTCTGAATACCTTTGTGTGTAGGTAATGAAAGAGCACTTGGTTTATATCTAAGTCTGCTTTATGCTTTTTTTGTTTACATGACTTAAGGCTATGTGTCATGGGAAACATGTACAACTAGTTTCCAGTTAGTCACATTTGACCACTGTGTGTGTATCTGATTTGAGTTGCATGTTACTGCATGGAGGAACGCCTGGTTTCAGCTCTGCTTTAACAAAAGAAGAGGTCTATTTTTAAAACCTTCCTAACAATGAAAATGGAAACTAGCATTCTTTCCATCCTGGTAATCTGAGCGAGTCTGTCTTATGGTTCAGTATGGAGTCATAGTGCAACAGTAATACAAAGTAGCAAAGCAGTATTTTGAGGGTAGAAAGCCACATTGGGTTAATTTAAGTGGTTTGTGTTGTGTCTCTGAAAGGAGAGCCTGTGCTTAGGAAAGATTTTCATGTTGTCATGTTTGACTTGGTTAAACTATAACATTGGGTTTGCATGCGGGAAGGTGAGGATGTTCAGGCGTTAGTTAAACTAGTGGTGCCAGCTGCTGTGTGGTGGCTGCCTGCAATGGCCGTGCTGTCTCTTGTAATAAATGTAACTTGCTTGAAATCTCAATGGAAGCGGGGAAGTTTCTTTGTATTTACTGTGCAGTCGGTATTTGCAGCTCACTCACCATTGTGGCTAGTTAATGTACTATAAATCCATCCCTAGCATACCTTGCAGTAGCTTAGTCTATTTGTGCTCTGAGTTTTTCATCTGTACTAGAATTGATTATACTGAAAGCAGTGAAATGTGTTAAATGGAATTTTATTTACAGAAAGATTTTGTTGCAAAAACCCTTGTGACTTGATATATCTGGAGTTTCAGAGATATACTGAAGTTGGAAGTATTTGTGCAAATACTTGGCATAATTGATGTGTACAGTTGGTTCAGTGCAAGTTTAAAAAAAAAAGTATCTTAATGATAGACTTGAAGGACTTCAGACATTCGTGCCTCTGAGAGAGGAAGCTGATTAGCTCTTTGACATTTTGACCTACCCTCTGAGATGCTCTTCCTTAATTTTTTTCTGTGTTGTTGAAATTAAGATATCTTATAGATCATCTTCAAATATGCAGTAGGAATCAAAGATCCAGCAAATACAAGTAACAAAAAGCAAAGGACTAATGCTTTCTTTTGTTCCTATTAGACGTGGTAAGTGAGTTGTATTGGTGGCAGGTTTTTTGTTCTTGTCTTTGGTGTTTGGGTTTGGGGTTTTTTTGGTTGGTGTGGGTTTTTGGGGTTGGTTGGTTTGGGGTTTTTTTTGGTGGTGGGAGAGGTGTTTGTTTCTAATGACTGATGTTTGGTTTGGTGGCTTCTGACACCAAAGGATGTGCAGACTTCACATGAGAGTATCTGTCGGTGTGCTTTTAGTGGCTAGCATGTCTGTGGCTGGGTATTTCTAAGCGGACAAACTTTTTAACTGGGTGAAGACCAGAGAACGAACTATCAGAAATAGTTTTAGGCCAACCTATGGGTGTGTATGCACATAATAAAAAATTAAGGAATTGAAAATACAAAGCTATAAATATTTTTTTATAGCAAACAACTTCCCTGTCTTCTGGACTTTTAGATGAAAGGAACCAATATTTTTGTTTTCATTATTATTAGTTTGTCACTGGCAAATATTGAACTGTCAGAGATGGTGCTTTTTTGTTAATGCCATTGTGTCAGAGTTTTGCTACTGTGAAACATGGGCTGACAAAACCATCTCCTTTCACAGCTCTTGAAAGATATAAAAGAAGTATGAGTGTCCAGCAATAACCTGGTTTAGAGTTCTGTGAAGAAAACTAAATAGCTGTAAATTGGGGAGTTCAGCTTGTCTGGGAAACAAATGGTCTTCTGGCTTGCATTCCTTTTTCCAATGTCATGAAAGTATAAAGACAGTCCAGTGATTATGCTGTTTGTCTTATAGTTTGACTTATATTTAATATGGAAATACATTCCTTTTGTTTCCTGTTGTAGTCAGATGCTCCAATTCTGTAGCAAGAAGCTGAAAAAAGTGCTATGTTGACATTTGCTAGATCAGTCCTATTGCTGTTTATAATTTTAATCTGTTGAAAATTAATTTTAATCATTTTAGCTTATTAAATAGGATAGTTTACCCAATCTGATGCTGACTACAGTAAGATTATAATTTATTACTATCCTTACTATTACTAAGGCTTAAACTGCAGTTTTTTGTTTGTTTGTTTTTATGGGCAGCTGTACGCTTGGGGCTATAATAACTGTGGTCAAGTTGGATCTGGATCTACAGCAAACCAGCCAACTCCTCGCAGAGTTTCGAACTGTTTACAGGGTAAAATGGTAGTTGGCATTGCTTGTGGTCAGACTTCCTCCATGGCTGTAGTGAACAATGGTGAGGTAAGCATTACTGCATGCTCACGTTCTCTCTGTTACCCAAACTTAAGAGGTTAATGTCTGAACATGGAGAAATGCTGACATGCAGTGCTCAAGTTATAGAGTTGTATTGATAGAGTTATACTGATAACTTCTGTGATACCAATTTAAGGAAAACCCTGCAATTAACTGGAGATGCTGTCTTTACACTAAATATTCCTTCTTATAGCAAAGACTGTATTGGAACATAATTATTACTGAGTCTGCAACTGCAAGAATTTGAACAGTTGTATTAGGCATGTCTGTCTTCCTTATTTCAATAGGTTGTTTAATATATGTCTTAATTAGATTTTTTGAAAGCATACACAAGTAAATAGTTAATCTTTCTGCAAGAATACACTGTCTGATCCTGGTTCTTAAACACATTGCTTAATTGCCAGCAACAAAACCAAACCAAGCTGTTGATCGTTGCCCAAGTATTGTGCAACTGTTCCTTTTCACATAAGTTTATGGTGCTATCTTGCTTCTAGGTATGAACTGTAACCTCAATTTTACTACACTTCACCAAACTCAGAGCGTAGCATTTCTTTGTGACTAGAGGGACTGAAAAGTCCCTCAGGTTGAGATGAGCTTTCATTGTACATAGTTTTGTCTTGATGTGTCCACCACAACAAAACTAAAGGAAGAAGTAGAGCTAAACTGGGGACGTCAGTTTAAACTAATCCAATAGCTAATCAGCTGATCAGAATAACTAATTTAGTGTTTTCTGTAAAAAATGAAAAGTAATAAGGAGAAAGGAAGCGGTAAAAGTCAGCTAAAATGTTTATGCTGCGGGAGACATTTTGTTGTATTGTAAGTTTATTGTAAAATTCCCAGTACCTCAAAGACAAATATATTTTAGAAAGCTTCTTTAAAAGGTAAATGCAGGATTGGAAAGTTGAATAGAGTCAGTCACTGCATTATATTTAATATGTTTTAGGCTTCTCTATATTGCTCTTGAAATAGTGTACAGTTTTTTAATAAGATGTAGTTTTTTGACTTGCTTGATACTAAGTCTTAAATGTTCTGTAACTCTACAGAGGAGTGGCTTCATTTTGTTTTCCTTTTGCAATCAGGTTTATGGCTGGGGTTACAATGGTAATGGTCAGCTGGGTCTTGGAAACAATGGCAATCAACTAACACCATGCAGAGTGGCAGCCTTACATGGTGTGTGTATCCTCCAGGTACGTCTGACATGGAAGTGAAAATGCACTCATGTTTCTAGCATCTGCTAAAACTGTATCTTTGGAATCTTACACCTGCTTCTAGATTTCACAGTTCAGATACTGAATTTTTTTAGCTCCTAAAAGTTATATTAGGCTTATAAAAAGTGCGAGTATGCTGTAAAATACTGGCTTTTGTAAATGTTCTGAATGATTTAAAATTAGCTAGTGTACCTATAAGTAAATTATGCTATGGATGCAATTTGCATCTTTGTTACACAGCTGAATGAATGAAATGCAGTAGGCAAAGACAAGAAATGAAGGGGAACAAGATGTCCAAATTAGATTCTACATTAATATTCTCATTAGTCCTTCAGAAGTGAGGGGAGGGAGAAGATGAGAGTTATGGGTGTGGGTTTGGTTGTTTGGTCGTTGGGGTTTGGTTGGTTGTTTTTTTCCACGTAAAGAATGAAACTAAAAATTAGGATTTCCTGGGGTTTTATTAAGGTTCTGTGGAATTTCATGTGATAACTTGGGTTGAATTGTTGTTGGCTGTTGAACTGCAGCTCTCATAGTTTGTATAGTACTCAAAATACCAAATGCTGAAAGTATTTCAGAGTTGCAAGACATGATCATAGAATCACAGCATTATTAAAGTTGGAAAGGACCTCTAAGATCATCAGGTCCAACCATCAACCCAACACCACCATGCCCATTAAACCATGTCCCGTTCTGTTCTTTGTGTGAAGAGTCTGCAACTGAAAGCAAGTAAAGGCTAGGGAGACTTTGCAAGAGTGCAGTAAACTATTTAGGAATAACCAATGAACACTAAATTAATGAAGCTGGGACTTTTCCAGTACCTACAGTTAACATATTTTCTGTTAGCTTTAAGTACTGGGAAATAAGACATGCTAAATGAAGAATGCCTGAGATATTTAACATCAGATAGACTAAGGTAATGCGTGCAATAATTTTGTTTCTCATCTGTTTTGTTTAGTTAGTAATGCTTATACATTTACTTACAGATTGCCTGTGGCTATGCGCACACACTAGCACTAACAGATGAGGGTTTGCTCTATGCCTGGGGAGCTAACACTTACGGGCAGCTGGGAACTGGCAATAAAAGTAACCAGCTAAGCCCGGTGCAGATCATGATGGAAAAAGAAAGGTAATCTTGCTGAAGCTGTTTCTGGATTGATAAGTCTGAGCATGTGTTATGCAGTCTCTAGCACTGGAAGCATGCATGTTTAGGACTTGGTGGATTGTTTTTCTATTGCTAATGTTAAAAGCATAGGAAAGGATGGTAACTTACTAGTTACTGTAGGCTGAGTGGTTTTTGCTATCTGTAATGACTATTGAAAGTAAACATACTTTGTATTTAACTGATACTGAAAGATAATGAATAAGTGTTAAACTATGCTAAATATGGTTCCTTTAATTAAAAATTTGGAGCTATGAAATCAATAAGCTAAGCTTTTAAGCTATATTGAGGCCTATATTAAAAAAAAAAGGATGGGGGAAAGAAGCGCCACCTGTGTAAGAAGTGACATGTGAGGAAAAAACAATTTTCTGAAAGGCTGACAGTAGCCAACAATGGAAACAGAACTCTATTTGCAAGCTTGTTAGAGCTAAAGGCAGATAATACTACTTTTATCAGTGGTACAAGTCAGTACTTTGTAGTTTCTTAGCTTCCTAGATTCATAAAAGAATAACCCTAACCCTTGTCCACCCTCTTTCAGCACCTTTGTCATCCTCATCTTTGGGATGGCTCTTCTGCTGTTCCCCCACAAACCTGGACCTCAGTCCCACCCTCTGGACCCATGAGTATACCTATAGATTAATGTACCTCAGTTTGGAAACCTCTTAGTCTATAAATCCCTTAACCTGTAAATCTCTTAATTTGTAATCTCCTCTTAACTACGAAACACTTGTGGTTGGGTTTTCTCCTCCATTTCTGAACGGTCTTTCTGGGAAGTCATTCCTATTTTTTCTGGTTTCTCACACTTAACATTAAGTTAAAAGCTGCACAGTACCGAGATTATTTAAGAGCTTAAAAAACAGCTGGGGGGAAAGAAGAAAGGAACCATCACAGTAGAAACCACTGAGGTGAGGCTGGCTTGTCTGTGAAGAAACTGACACTAGCGAAGCAAAATGAAATATTCTTTAAAAAAGCACTGGAAGAGCAATGTGTATGTTTGCAAATAAATCAACTTTGTTTTCTTAGCAATTTATTTCTTGAGTGAACTAAGAGGACCTGTTGCCTTTAGAATTGTATGTGAACTCAAGCATGGGATTATAAAAAAAAATGGCATTTGTTCAGTGACTAAAGGAGGGAGAAAATACCATAGAACTTCTGATTGGAATCTAAGGGAGAGATAAGTCACTTGAACTTATCTTGCTTGACTTGGCTCCCTTGGAAACAGTCCTGTAAGTGGATGAGCTGTCATTTCCAATGAAGCATACTAATGCTGCTTTTCCTGGTCCTTTCATTTATATAACACTTTTGTCATTTATATGTAATGCTGGTGACAGTTCCTTAGGAGGTAGCATTTGATGCTGTCTTGAAGAATATTGCAGATACTCAGATAAGGAACTTTTAGACTTTATTTTGTGTTAGCGTGGAGGAACAGTTATGAAGGTCAGCTTCCTGAACTTTGATGTTAAGTATATGCTTACCATGTTATCCTGTACGTGTACTATACATGTGTTATAGTGCATGTTCTACTATGCCTCTTAACTATAGTACAGTTACTCTAAAAATAAGAATCTGTTCTGCTAAGGAAAGAAAGTTTGGGGAACGAAGTAGTTTAGGTGGATAGCTATGATGGGCAATAAGTTGTCCCTAAAATTACTTTATGATGTCTGATGCAGAGGCGCTGTAAGATATCAGTGTTGCATAGAGGTTAATGAGTTGATAATGGTGTAAAACAACCCATTAGTCTTTTATTTGCCAGAAATCATCAATACATATACTGAAAGTGAGTGTAGATTCCTTCTGTGTTTTGTCTAGAAATAATTTTTGCGCTTAAAACGTGGGCTTTGTGCTAAAAATTTTTTTTTGCCTAAAAAGCTAACTCTTCATGGATGTTGTTCTGTAAAGGAATAAACATTTTGATACGTATATTCTTAGGGTGCTTGGAAAGACATTTATTTGTCCCAGTTGATCTGTTTCTGACACAAAAGCATGAAATCCTCTGGTGTATTTTTAGCATGGAGAAAGAACAGGGAAGTATAGCTTTTATTTTGAACTAACACCGGAACTTCCCTTGGTTTTTGCATATCGTGTGAACAGAGATACTGGAAACGTCCTTGCAGCCCTTTCAATGCAATGGCAATTCTTCTCAAATCTTGTAATGTTTCAGGTAGCATGATAGGGATTGCGTGAGCAATGGGAGAACAGAATAAATAAGTGTGCATCAGCAGCTCTAGTATTTTAAGGAAGTATGTGAGGTGGATGAAAATACTATATAGACTTTATTTAAAAAACAACCATAGCTCTTCAAGAATGTGGACTTAGTGCGTGTATGAAATGAAGCACTGTCCATGTTCCATGGTGAGCCTCAGTGTTGAAGAAAGGAAGCTAACAGCAAAATAAGAAGTCAGAAATACAGGCAGTAGGTCAGATCTCTGCCTACATATGAACAACAGATTAAAAGCAGGGTAGAAGGGTTTCTTAATAAAGGACTTACTGAAAAATACATAGGATCTAAATCTCAAAATGAGAGAATTCTTAAAACATTTTTACAACATTTTACAACAATTTGAAAGAAGTTCTGAAAAATGCTCTGCAAAAATCTTAGTAGTATAACTTTTCTGCCTGTTCCCTAACTGGAATTTTCATAAGCTCCATAAGCATTTTTTCTTGAGAGTGTGTCTAATGTGCATCAGTTTTAAAGGTGAAAAACAAACCTTTGTTTTGCTTTATCCCTTTCCCATGGTTATGGAAGAAAAGGAGGAATGTGAGCTGATGAGAATGACATAATTAAAGCAATATCTGATTGCAGTAAAATCTGCAAGTAATCTGAAAATGTCATTGCGGTTTTAAAATATTGATCCATTCAAACAATGTCATATTCATGCAGGACAAAGTACAGGAGTGTAGATGCATAGTTTGGTTGGCTGTTATTTTGGTGAGGCATTTGGAAAGTCACTTGATTCTATATCTGTAAGTATCTTACAAGTTTTCTTCTGTTTCCAGGGTTGTGGAGATTGCAGCCTGCCACTCTGCTCATACGTCGGCTGCCAAGACCCAGAGTGGCCAAGTGTACATGTGGGGCCAATGCCGCGGGCAGTCAGTGATACTTCCCCACCTCACTCACTTTGCCTGCACCGACGATGTGTTTGCTTGCTTTGCTACCCCAGCTGTTATGTGGCGTCTTCTATCCGTAGGTGAGAACAAGCTCCAATATGGCAGCCAGTGCTATAATCTCTGTCTACATTTGTAGTGATTACTATAAGATGCCACTTCTGTGGCAGGATGGTTCCTCCTTTAAGGAGAACCAGAAATTAAAACTAGCTCTTTTAGCTAGGTTTTTTCTTTCAGAAGAAAATAGTCTACTTCAGCAGCTAAGGATCCAGAATAGAACTAACAAGATTGTTTGCCAGTATACATCTGGGGACAACCCGGTTCTGCCATTGCACTGTGACTATTATGTATTTCCTACATTTTTACTGTTTGAGATCCAGCTCAGGACTGGGAGGGACTCCTAGATCATTAAACATAACTTTTTTCTCTTAAAACTATTCCTACTTGGAAGACTGCTCCTGATGCTTCTTACTTTGGTATCTAACAACTTTGAGTTATAAGTGTTGACTCCAGCTTTCCCTCCTTAGTATTTACGCTTCCAATATGAATATCTTTCTCCTATGTGTCATGGTTTAGCCCCAGCCAGCAACTAAGCACCACGTAGCCACTCAGACGGGGGAGAGAATCGGAAGAATAAATGTGAGGAAACTCATGGTTTGAGATAAAGACAGTTTAATAGGTAAAGCAAAAGCCACACACACAAGCAAAGCAAAACAAGGAATTCATTCACTATTCCCCATTGTCAGGCAGGTGTTCAGCCATGTCCAGGGAAGCAGGGCTTGATCACATGTAATGGTTTCTTGGGAAGATGGATGCCATAAAATCCCTCCACCCCTTCCTCCTTCTTCGTCTCGGCTTTATATACTGAGAATGATGTCATATGGTATGGAATATCTCTTTTGTCAGCCTGGTCAGCTGTCCTGGCTGTGTCCCCTCACAGCTTCCCGTGCACCCCTAGCCTTCTTGCCAGCAGGCCAGCATGAGAAGCTGGACTGTCCTTGACTGCTTAGCAACAACTCAAAACATCAGCAGGTTATCAACATTTTCTCATCCCAAATCCAAAACATAGCCTCACACTAGCTTCTCTGAAGAAAATTAACTCTATCCTGGCTGAAACCAGGACACTATTTCATGTTAGGAAAGTAAAGTGATGGAATAACAAGATTTTGTTTTGTGAGATAATTTCTCTCAACATGATTTAGTTTGACTTTCCCCAAAGACAGACAGACTTGTAAATAATAGTCCATGTATAACAAGACCCTAATATAATTGTTTTCTCTGTTGGAACTCTCTTCTTACACTGCCTTGGATTATACTTTGGGATGCAGTCTCTGTGACCAACAAATAAGCCCAAGCCTTTCATGTTGATAATCTTTGATTCACATGCTGCTAATTCATATTTGACCCCAACTATGTTATAAAGTGCTTAGCTTGCACTTCCTTAAGAACGTGAACATGTTTTCATGTTCAAAACATGAAGATCTTTTCAGCTTAGATCTGCCATTTCCGTTCTCAAGATCATTTAGGAGATCTAATCTGTTTTCATCTTGACAGCAGATCCTAATTTTGTTAGTCCCTGTACGTAATTGGTTTTGTGGAGGGATCACATCTGAAGTAACCTTTCTCCAGACTCAGACTTTATCTTTGCATGTAGCTTGTCCTAACCCAGCTTCTCCATCTTAACTTCTCATTTAGCATGTTATAACATGTACAGAGGTCCAGATAACAGCATCTCATCTATAGAGGAAAACTGAATAGTTTAGTGAGATAAACAGTGAGAGAAGATTAGCTTGGAGTGATCTGCTTCTGGGTAAATCCAAGTCTTGTTTTATCCCACTTCTCACTTTCTCCATTCTCTAATCCTCTGCAATATGTGTTAGTCTTGCCCTCTGTAGAGGTCTGATTGCTGTCCAGGACTATTGCCTTTTGCTAATAGTGAAGGCTGTTTAAATGACATCTCCTCGGTCTCAGTACCTTTCAAGTTCCTGATTTTTATGAAGTATTCCCAGACTGAATATAACAAGGTATTTGAATTTTGTACCTGCATTTTAATTCCTCTTAGCCTTTTAGGGTTCTTCCCCTCTTATTCTGATAATCCTACTTACTGAGTATTTAAATCAAAAGCATTAATTCTGGAGGCATTTTTAATCTCCATTTTCCATATGCATTTTTTCCTTTCCCACCTTTTTTATTCATATAGGTTAAAAAAACCCTCTTTTCTTTTTACGTTTTTTTTTTTCTCTTTTAGTGAGAGCTAACTCTACATAAAAGTTATTGTTCTACTTCCAGTTATGATGGCTTTGCCAAAAAAATTAATCAGTCACTCAGGATTGGCTGTGGTGAAGTACAAATCTGCAGCCTTTTTTGAGGAATGAACTTAAGGTATTTGGAGTGAAAGTTGATCTGCTGCATAGCTTAAGCTAAGCTGATGACCTAGAAAAAAAATCACATGAGCAAATGGAGGGGGATTGGAGTATGGTTTATTTAACCCTGATGAGATGCAGGTTCTGTGGATGATCCATGTAAATTGGAGGATTGTATGGTCTTTTGTGGCATAAACGTGACTTGTCTGTTACAGAAGTTTGTTACAGCAGTATTTCTTTTTAAATACAAACTAATTTAGCTGTCCATAATGGTGAAGAGTAATTTGTGGATTGTATGTGGATGAAGAGTACGCAGTCCTGTGGTACACAGGAGACAGACCACATCCCATTATAGTGGAAATACACTTACTTTTCTTCTCCATACTTTGCTTCTTAGAAGCCACAAATTTTGAAACATGCTTTTAAGATGCATCAACAGAAGCTTCAAATCGTGGGTCAAATTAGGTTTTCTAAAACTTCAGAGTCTTGCTTTACCGCAAGCCTTAGCCAACTTGTGCTGCAACTCTTGTGTGATTTCTAGAGACACAGAGTGAGTGCCATAGGCCATAATATAAAGAACTGTCCAAGAGCTGTGATACCTCAGCTTTAATCCACTTTGAAAATTGCTGAAGTCCTGTGTCCTTGGTAGTAGATACTGTGTTCATGGTACAGTCTCTCTTCTTCAGAACACTGAACATTGTTGGATTTTGTGTTATCATAACTGACTAAAACCAAGTATAATGGTGTCAGTGATAGTTCACTTTAGTGAGCCCTGGCAAAGACCTTAACAGACAACCTGCAGGCTATATCCAATCTGCTAGCACAAAGGAGTGGCCAACTGGTGACATGTTTTCTTACTATTTAGGCTCAGATCACACCATGTCAGTGCAGCTGAAGTACTGTACACTTGAGACCTGTGTCTCAAGTGAGTTGCAGGTGATGCTGTAGATGCCCGTAACCAGCAGTTTGCAGGTGGCAGAGCTGAGCTGACCCAACACTAGCACTGAGCTGCGAGGAGGCTGGCAATTTTATGGATGGTGGCCAGGTGGAGAATGAGAAAGGAAGTTCTCCAGGTACTTTCCGTGGTGCTGTGCTACCTCTATGTAATGAGCTGGAAGAGGAGCTGCTGACCATTGCTGCCTGTAGCTGTTGTGGAGCATTCCTTGCCAACAGGATTGGTATTGGATTAATTCATTCTTCTTTTTTCAGCCCTTAAGCCAATGGAGCCCTGATACTGACCTGTTTTCCTTGACATGCTCTTAGTTGAGCTGATAGCTTTAGTTAGTGATGTGTGTGTTCCATTTAAGATGATTCACTTTTTTTTTGTTTTTTTTTTTTTTTTTAAATTTTTTCTGTAGAGCATGAAGACTTTTTAACAGTAGCAGAATCTCTGAAGAAAGAGTTTGACAGCCCAGAAACTTCAGACCTAAAGTTCCGTGTGGATGGAAAGTACATCCATGTTCACAAAGCTGTTCTGAAAATCAGGTAGTGGTCGTATTTCACAGCTCTTGCCTATACAGAATGACCTCTTAGTGTCATATCTTAATAGGGGGTGGAGGGAGGTAAGAGGCAGGGGCACACCCCTAAACCTGTAATATATAGCATCTATGTATCTATAATCACTTTAAATGAAGTGATTGTAAAAGGAGTTGAATCAAAAATCGGTCTTAAAATGGTCCATATTCAGTTTTCACTAAGCCTATTTGTTGCTCCCAGGACAATAAATTCTGTTAAGTTGGTCTGTCTGCAACGTATTCACAGACGGTTCTGTAGCATAGATCAAATAAGAGTTTTATCTTGATGCGTAGCAATGCCCACAGTATTGGGAACCAAAATGTGGAGCACTGGCTGTGATGGGGTATGGTAAAATATTTGTGAACATTGCAGAGTGCACCAAATACGTATTTCAGTGGGACTGTAATGTAACGTTCATGTCTACATATAATAGTGTTCCAGATGATGTCTTTGTCTCTTAGGTGTGAACACTTCAGAACAATGTTCCAGTCATACTGGAATGAGGATATGAAGGAAGTGATAGAAATAGACCAGTTTTCTTATCCTGTGTATCGTGCCTTTCTTGAGTACTTGTATACAGACAGTGTTGACCTTCCGCCTGAAGATGCAATAGGTATTGCTTATGGTCCAATTATGTTAGAAAACAGCATCCCAAAAAACTGAGGCAGGGGATGCAGAATAAATGTATTTGTATAGACTTCTAGTCTAGCCTGAAATGCATTTTACTGGTGATTAAGTAAGCTGCCTTTAAAATACTGTTGTAGCAAACTTACTACAGCAAAAGCGATGCATATTTAGAAATAAACTCTGAGCAGTTTTTTCAAAGTTGGGAAAGAAACTATTTCTCTGGGTTAAAATACTTACATGTTTTACTAAATCGAGTCACTTATTGTTTGGGATAATATGCAAGAATCTCAGTAGATCTAATAGGGGAAACTTGGACAGCAGAGTGAAGAGCAAGCTGTAATTCAAGCACAGATTTTTATAGTGGTAGCTTTTTGCTCATGTTGTGGTGCCTATTTTGTGACAGTCCCACTCTCGCAAGCAGTTAGGTATGCAAATCTGTGTAACAGCTTGTGTATTTACAGAGATTAACAGGATTGAGGCTTGAGGTGATAAAACGCCTTTCTTCCTGTGTAATGGTAAAATACATTTTTCTGAATAGTGACCTACTTGCAAAAAGCATGTTATAGACATATAGAACATTGCATACAGAATACAGATGCCGCTGTACCCCAGCAGCGTAAATTGTTGTTGAAAGAGCAGAGATCATGACAACTGACTAATACAATGGCGTTTTAATTGCAGGGCTTTTGGATTTGGCTACTTCATACTGTGAAAATAGACTGAAAAAACTGTGTCAGCACATTATCAAGAGAGGAATTACTGTGGAAAATGCATTTTCATTGCTCTCTGCTGCTGTCAGATATGATGCAGAGGTAAACTTCTAGACTTAAATCTCTTAAATGGGTGGCTGCCTTCTGACTTAAACTATGGAGAAAAGCAGCCAGTTATATTTTCATATAAGCTCTCTCTCACTTACTATGAGATAATACTGTTTGCCATTTTTGGAATTTGAGAATGTTGGACTTAAAAAACTGCATTTGCCATGAAAGGTGTATTTTTAAAATTTTTTTTCCTCCCCATAAACCACTACTGGAAAGGTGAACTGGTACAGAGATAGCTAAAGACGACTTGAGTCCCAGGCTGAGACTCAGTATCTGTAGATGTTTACATTGCTTAATTTAATGGTAAAAGGTTATGACACTATACCAAGCTTCATGAATTACTGGTTTTTTGTTTGTTTTTTTTTTTTTTTTAAGAAAACACTAACTCTGGAACAAGGGAAGGGTTTAAAGACAAAGCAAAAAACGTTACATTACAAAAAGCAGTCTTAAGCAGTCTTGTAAGCCTTAAGTTACTTATTTGTAAGGTTGTGTGTTGTGTGTGATGTCATGTGGTGGTAGGTTTGGGGATTGAGTACATTTGGACTTTTTGTGGTTGGTGGGGTGGTTTTTTGTTGGCTTTTTTTTGTTTCTTTTTTAACTACAGTCAAATACACTTTCAGTCTTCCCAGTATGCTAATGAAATATCAGGATAAGGACTGCTTTATGGGCCTAATAAATTTTAAAGACAGAGAAACTGTGTGTGAAAAGGAGGGAAGGCTAGTGAAACTTCCCTACTGCATAATGTCTGATTTCTCTACTAGATCACTAACATGCTGCTTTGTGAACTAATCAGTTATTATTCCTGGGCTTGCTTCGGCTACTTGTGTTCAGCATAGTATCTGTGCATCATGTTTGTGCAACTTGGCAATTCGTTAGTTTTTACCTTTCTACTTATGCTTATAAAGCACTTTTGGTACTCAGTAAATCAACTCATTGCTTTTTTTTGTACTTAGTATCCAGCAACTGGCATGCAGATGCCCTAACTTATTTCAGAGCCTTGTAGCGTGTTGCTTGTTTGATATACCTTACCCAAAGGGCTGTTTTAGTGTCTGAATTGCGGCTTCAGCGCTACTGTGAATGATTTCTTTGGTGGGAGTTCATGGAAAATAAGAAGATTTCCATATTTTAGCCTTTGAGAGATTGTTTGCAGGATGGGTCTTCAGTGATTGATTCTGCTTGTAAAGGGTAGAAGAAATCCAGTTACGATGTCTTGGCTGTACCTCACTAGCTAAATGAAATTAGAACTGTACGCTTAAATGCTACATCAAGGAGAGAATGGGTGACTCTGTGGGGTTGGTTTTAAGTAAAAAGTGTTTTTTACATGCAGTAATGCTAGATAGGGGCTTGAAATTCTAGTTCATTCAAGGGACTGTGTGTCTGGAAGACTACAGTTAAAAAAAGCTGCTTCACTAATTTAAAATACCTCCGTGACATGAAACTCTCCTATACTTTCTTTTGGTGACTGCCTGAATTGAAGTGGCTAGAATTAGGTCAGGTCTGGCTTCTTATTGTAAATTTTAAAATAATCATTGGATGTACCTTGTGCCTTTATTCACTCAAGTCTATATTAAGTACAGTTTGCTGAGAGTGCATCCATTTACAAGTGAAATTCAGCCTTTTTCTACAGAACTTTAAATTTTCCAGAGTTTCTTGCTAATACTACAATATTTCTGTTTATTGTACACTTCTGTTGCCTTGACTTGGAATATGAATTTTTTTAAATAAAGCAGTGCAAAATATTGTAATGTGTACGATGTAATTTTGTTTAACATGCTAGTTCATTCTGTTATTTAAAAAAAAAAGAAAATCCTCAGTGTTCAGTTCTAATAAGCTTGTCTTTTTTTGTTGCACAGATGCCACACAAGTCAAGATCTGCAGCTTCAGAATGCCTGGTTTTAGGCCAGGATATATTTTTGTATTATTGTGGTGTCAAGAACTCTCACTGGCACACAGTTGCTCTAGCATTCAGTATTGACCTTAAGTGAAAACATGAATTAATCCGTTTTTCATACCTCATGTGGCTTAAAGAGCTCTGCAAGTTTGTTATGCCTTACTGCAGCACCCAGCCTGTGGAGCAGCTAAGGAGGGATGTGTTCTCGCGTATAAAGTCCTACAAGCTTACAAAGAAATTAGAACAGGGTGGGGAGTTCCTCTTTTGTAAGGGCTGCAGCATCCTCCTCATAGCAGCTTAGGTCTGCACCAAGCTACAAAGAGTAGATTTCATCCTCAAAAGAGGAGATGGAAACAAATAATCTGAGTGAAAATCTGCAGTCAATGTTATATTGATGACGACTGTCTCTTTTTTTTGTTTGTTTGTTTTTTGTTTTTAGACACCCTTTCATTCTGACATCATGTGGGTGCAATGATGTGAGGCTTTTCCAACCCTTAAAGGGAAGGCACTTCTAAGTAGACTCAAATATCCAGAGCCCACTTTCTGCAAGAATTGCTGTGCTGTTTTATGCCACAGTACTTTTGAATCATTTTTGGGACATCTGTGAAATATTTTGTAACATGAGTCTGTTTCTAATGCACAGAAAGGAAGTGCTGACTGAACGGTGCTTTAAAACTTGCGTCGAGCCCTGTGACACATGACTTCAAGGCTTTAGTTAAGCCCTGAACTAAGCAGGGAGTCAAGCAACCTTACGTATAGATTTCAGTTTATATTATGGAACAAAAGAGCTGAATTTCGTTAAGCCACAGTCTGGGTTGTATATCATTACCCCAAGATCCCTTGTTTGTATTGGGTTTTAATAGCTGGCAGTGAGTGCAGGTGAAGCTCTTCAAGTGGGGAAAACTTTTAAAATATATATTGCTTGGAACAATGATTTATGTGACTGTAGCTATATAGTGAGAACCAAATTATGGTTACTTTTTCCTCTGCAACCATGTTATGTGGGTAGAATTACTATTTTCTGTTGCATTTACATAGTGACTGTGTGGGGAAAAATATCAAGAGCCACTGGGTTAATGCTTTTGTCTAATTCTCTGCAAAAACAAACCATATACAGGCATTTGTGCCTGAATGTAATTTTCTGCGATGGAAGCAAAAATAGTAAGGTTTTTTTCCTTCTTTTTTTTTTTTTTCTTTCTGTTTAGGACTTAGAGGAATTCTGCTTTAAGTTTTGTGTCAATCATTTGACGGAAGTGACACAAACTACAGCATTTTGGCAAATGGATGGTCCCCTGCTAAAGGAATTCATTGCTAAAGCCAGTAAATGTGGAGCCTTTAAGAACTGAAATGAGGCTGTAAGTTACGGGCGTTTGTAGGGGTTTTTTGCAGTTATAACAGGGTGTCGTAACTGTATGGGTAAAAGTGAGTGTTACCTGGTCTCTGATACCAGAAGATGTGAAAGGCCACAGTGAAAACAAATGTTTTCTGTGCTCAAGAGCGAACTGTTGTAAAAATGTCGAGCAAAATAACTCACTTGCATTTTGCAAACCTGGATCGCGGAACCAGCTCGAGATTTCAGGCAGCAAGAGGGAAGATGGCCCTGGGCAAAAAGGGTTCCAGACAGCACCAAGGACTTGCCTCCTTAGCCTAGGAAATCTCAATTCTAGCACCGCCTGTTGGTATTTTCGATTTCTTTTTTGGGGTTGGAGAATAGTCTGATCTGAGCCATTGAATGATGGATGTCACTTAAATCATGAACTCCCTAGGATTGTACAGGAGCAAATGGCATGGATATATCTTACCACGTTTGCATGATTGTGAATGAATTTGCCATTTGCTGTGTGTAATTAACCAAGTGTATCCGGTGCTTAGAAAAGTGTGCAAAAATAATATATCCTCAAAGCCTATGCAAGTGACTTTGGAGAAAGGGGTAACTAGCAAACCTAATTGGAAGTAAGTCTTTATATTTGGGTATACCTTAATATAAGTCGTAACATGTACTCTGTGTAATCTGTTCAAGCAACATTTCTAATGGTTAATGGAAAAAAAACCCTCTTTGGTGACTGCAGATTACATTGGTTCCTGCAGAGGGGAAGGGATACGCTGTTCTGAAAGTAGGGGGTATGCATTTAAGTGTTGTATAAATTTAAACTACATATAATAAAATTGACTTTTTTGTACCTGTTTGACAGCAAACTTCTTTGAAGAAAGTTCCAAGCTTTTTCTGTTACATATAGCATGTAAGTTGCTTTATTTAAAAAAAACACAAACAACCGAACCCAAACAAAAAACAATGCCAAAACCCTATGTGATGATATGTTACTGAATCTTACTGATTTCACTGGGCTTGACAAATGTCTGTGATCTCAATTTCAAAAAACAGCAAATTGAGTGGTAGGCACTAATTTAGACCCCTGTGATTATAATCTATGGATCTGATTTTTTTTTTTCCCACTAAGAAGTCCATATGTGCCTGTAACCTTACAGCAGGTATGTACTATTACAATAAAAATAGCCTATTTCTATTGTGCACTTTTAAGGCGTTGTGTCCCCAGGTTAGAGAAGAGAACCTGGAATTTCAGATTTGAAGTTTAGGTTAACTATGGGTCTAATTCCAGGGTTTTCCAAAGCCTAGAATTTTGTACTGTTGATAGAGGCCAGGGAGCTGCTGTTGCAGGACGTTGGGAGTTCAGTCCAGGGTAGTCTGACAAAATGCTTCCAAATGTGTTGTAAACATTTCCAATAAACATCTTGGTTTGGATTGCAAGCACTAGACTAAAGGTCGACCTTAGTGGGGGGTGTACAGTACTTCTCCTCCAGGCTGCTGGGAGACTTGTCAGAAATTCAGACTGCAGCTGTACAGAAAAAGGGCTCATGTGAGCTTTCATGTCCTTCCCCTGACAGTAGATCTGCATCTTTTGCTGTTCCCTGGTAACAGCTACATCCAGGCTCCATGTTAACAGGTGTTTGTTTTAGGTAAGAGCTTTGTAGGCAGCACAGCTGTCAGTGGTGCTTGAGTCTACCTTCATACGGAATAAGCTCAAGTTGTGGATTTTGTTACAGAGCCTGTCATGATGAGCGGTGTTTGACGTCATCATTAGGGCAGTGGATCCCTCAGGTCCTGCTCTGCATGCTACCACGAGGCAAGGTGTAGTTAAACTATGCTGTGACAGCATAGCCCCTCCTCTGCCGTCCCCCCTGCGACAGTGGGGTGAGCAAGCATGACTAAATACACAGCTTTCTTAAAAAGGTTTTATTTCATTAACTTATCCTTTTGTAGCTAAACAATGCTTTTCTGTATTCAAACAATTTTTTTAAAGACAAAACACATGGTTGTCATATCCTTTCTTAACAGAGAAAGGAAGATACAGTCCATTGTTTGATCCATTTTACATTGTACATGGTGTTTAAGAGTATGATGCCCAACTGTTTCTGGTCTGCCTGGAAACACTGGTTCACCACTGCCCTTACAGCAGAACTAGTTATACATTAAGCAGTCACTTGAGAATCATTTAATTTAAAAAGCCAAACTCCTGTTTATAATTCAGAAGGCTTTTTTGAGTGCAAGTTCTGCTAATTTATCTTCTTTGGAAAGCCAAAGCAGCCACGTGATCCTTAAAACGTCGCCGCCACCTGGGTGCAGGCCATGAAGCAGCTGCAGCGCACAGTCAGGAGAGGGCTCCCATTAACAGGACTTTAATGAGCCGTCTGTGGCAGCCGATGCTCCCTTCTCTTTGAGGAAAAAAGTCTTGTTGAGCTTTTAAAAAAAAACCCACTAAATGTGGTGTATAACACTCATTGATCCACGGTAAAATTTAAAGAAAAGGGATAAATTAAAATTATTGCAACAGTGAGGTATAAAAATGAGTAAAACACCCAGTTCTTGCTCATGTCCCTGTCTTGGAGGGGGGAGAGACTGACTTGGACACTGACCAGACGTGCTCTAGGGTTTCTATCATTAGAAAATCCTAAATATTGACACCATTACAGACAGGTTAGGGGTTATTCAGACACTGTACTAGACGTACTAGCGGTGTTCTCCAGGGGAGGAAGTACGACTTCTTTTAAGTCCTGCAGTAGCTCAATCTTGTTATCCAGTCTTTTTCTGCTTTCCAGAAGTTCCTGGATTTTTTCCTCTGTTCCTATGGTGAAAAAGAAAGGGATACAAGTTTTTATTCAGAGCAGAGTTAGTTACATGCTTTGCCACCCAGGCACTGTCATCTCAAAACAAGCTCCATGAATGTTTAATTTAAACCATCACAGCAAATGTAAAGGAGCTCAAAAGCTACCGGATGGCCCGCTGACCAGCAAAAAGAGGAGATGAAAGCTGACTGAGGCATTGTCCCAAGCAGGACATGTGGCAACAGGACAGAAAGCAAAACTAAGGGAAGTCACTTGTCCTTGGCGAAGAGAAGGAGAACCTCCAACCTAGAAATTGGACATTACTGATGAGGCGATAGCAGGGTCCCATATGAGAAGTTTTAAATGCAGTTGTCTTTGCAGTAAAGCCTTGTACTGCAAAAGAACTCTTTATCCCTATATATAAAAGGGATTTAAAAAAGCAGTATCAGCAGTTACAGCTCAGAGTAACCTTGCTATGCTGACGCGCAAGGCTTTAGAACAGGTTTTGCAGGATGATTCAAGAAGCAGAAAAAAAAGATAAAATGAAGAAAATGGATTGAAGGTAAAGCATGTCAGATCACCCAAAATCATCAGTTCCAGGAGAATGATCAAAGACAACACAGTACTTACACTAGTCCTACTTTATTTAGTCCTAGACTTTTATGTCATCAGAGAGACCCGCTAGCTAGAGCTTGGAAGATCAAAAAAAAGCTGGTGATTTTCCTCCCCTTCCTACAGTTTCACTTGTCACTAACATGGTTTTTGTTCCTTTCTCACTGGTTCATTTTAAGAGGCTCCTCCTGGATAAGTTGTGGAACCAACCTTGGCATACGTTTTCATGATTGACCTTGAAATTAAAAGTAGGCTGATGGTATCAGAAGAGAAGACTGTGTGGTACAGGAAGAACTGAGGTGCCCAAGTAGTGAGGAACTGAAGAGGGGACAACTTTTACACAAGAATCACATGGTTGTGTGCACGTAGGTGCCAATATCAAGAATTTCTCCTGTAAGCTGAGAAGAGGATGAAATAATTAATGCAGCTGTGAAAGAAACAAGTGTGATCCAGGGTTGTGTCACATGAGGAGTTCTGAGCAGAGATGTTCTAATGCCCTCAAAGGACGCACTGGTGGAACCTCATGTCAGATAACTCGGCAACACCAGTCACTCCCATTTCCAAAAGAGGAATTTAAATGCCAGAACAGGAGACTGAAGAGAGGAGCCTGGCTTTTTCAGCTGAGTGAAGGGGAACAGCAAACATCACCTTCACGCACCGAACCTCAGTGTTAGCTAATTAAAACCCATTTCCCTTTTCACAGAGATAAATTGAAGCAGAAGTTAGAACAAGGCTGCTGTTAGAGGGGGAAATGGGAGCAAGAGACTTGCCTATCTGTCTGAAAAACAGTTTTAACCTTGTCGCTTACAATAGCTGAGACTGGAGACCAAGCCCCAGAGCTTCCTTCCACACTGGTGGTGGTCCCAAGCATCCGCTCCTGCCCTTGTTTTCCTTTCACCCTGAGCATTCTCAGCTTGCTGTTCAAAGCACGTTACAATTGCCATCAGGTCCAGGTAGGTTCTGCTCATGGCGTTTAATGCCCTTGACTGAAACACAACAGCCAGTCTGAACAGCATTCATCAGAAAGCAGCAGAGCTGTGATGCATGCAAGCTGCGGCGAAGGAAGAGAGATAACCTGCAGAAAGAGGACAGCAGAACAGCCTGCAGGAGAGGGAAGTGCCTCTGGGGCAGAGACCCTTTGGTTTTCTAAAGCTGTGGAACTGTCACTTGTCTCCCCGCTTGAGGTCAGCCAGCCAGATTTGACATCCTGTATTCCTAAAGATTCAGGTAGCAATGGCTTCTATTCAATTATTTATAGAACGTTGAGGAAAAGAAGTTCCTACAAATTTTTTTAATTTTAAGTGGTAATTTTATCAAAATGCTCAGAAGAGTAACCCCAATGCCAAAAACCATAACAACTGCTACTATTCAGACAGCTTTTTTCACATACCTGAATGAATATTTGTCAGTATATTTTCAAAGAGTCCACAGTCAAAGAGTGATGTTACTGTCTCTTCATACTCTGGGGAAATAGATTAATTTGATTTAATATTACTGAGTAAAGGCTTACAGATACAGAACCCTCGCGTTAATGCGGGGACCTACATTACAAGTAGCACAAAACAGTAATTACGTATTTTGTATCACAGAATCATATAACAGTTTGGGTTGG